GAGTTTTCAGTTTGCGCCGGAAGATGTGCAAGCTATCTGCTGTCCTGATGTCAATGGGGAGCTCATTCCACCATCTTGGAGCCAGGATAGCAAACCCACGTGTTTTCGCCAATGGGAACTTGGGTCCCCCTCGCAGCGAGGGTGCAGCGAGTCGTTTGGCTGATGCAGAGCGTAGTGCACGCGCTGGGGTGTACGGTTTAACCATGTCCTGGATGTACGAAGAGCCAGATCCATTCGCAGCATGATAAGCAAGTACCAGTGTCTTGAAGTGGATTCTAGCAGTTACCGGAAGCCAGTGAAGGGAGCGGAGGAGCGGAGTGGTGTGGGAACATTTAGGAAGGTTGAAGACCAGACGAGCCGCTGCATTCTGGATGAGCTGCAGAGGTCGGATGGCACATGCAGGTAGACCAGCCAGGAGGGAGTTGCAGTAGTCTAGGCGTGAGATGACGAGAGCCTGGACCAGAACCTGAGTCGCTTTCTGAGTCAGCTGGGGACGCATCCTCCTGATGTTGTAAAGCGTGTATCTGCAGCAACGGGTTGTAGCAGCGATGTTTGCAGTGAAGGACAGGTTGTTATCTAGGGTCACACCCAGATTCCTTGCAGTCTGAGTCGGGGAAACAACTGAGGTGCAATGTTGATTGTTAGGTCAAGAGTGGGACAATCTTTTCCCGGAAGGAAGAGCAGCTCAGTCTTGTCAAGGTTGAGCTTGAGGTGATGAGCAGACATCCACTGAGAGATGTCAGCTAGACAAGCAGAGATGCGTGCGACGACCTGGGTCTCTGAGCGGGGAAAGGACATAATTAATTGGGTGTCGTCAGCGTAGCAGTGGTGAGAAAAACCATGCGGGCTAATGACTGATCCGAGCGAGTTTGTGTACAGGGAGAAGAGGAGGGGACCAAGAACAGAGCCCTGAGGGATCCCTGTAGTTAATTGACAAGGGTCGGACTCAGACCCTCTCCAAGTCACCCTGTAGGTACGGTCTTTGAGGTATGAGGTGAGGAGGGAAAGTGCAGAGCCTGAAACTCCAATTTTTTGGAGAGTGCGAAGGAGGATCTGATGATTCACCGTGTCGAATGCAGCAGACAGGTCCAACAGGATGATGACAGAGGAGAGGGATGCAGTTTTGGCAGTGTGCAGTTCCTCAGTGACAGCAATGAGAGCAGTTTCTGTGGAGTGACCTGCCTTGAAACCAGACTGGTGCCGATCCAGAAGGTTGTTCTGATTGAGATAACAGGAGAGTTGTTTAAAGACAGCGCGTTCAAGTGATTTAGACAGGAACGGGAGGAGAGAGACAGGCCTGTAGTTTATAACATCAGACGGGTTGAGAGTGGGTTTCTTTAGGAGAGGGTTTACTCTTGCCTCCTTGAGACTGTTTGGAAAGTGACCAGAAGTTAGAGAAGTGTTGATGAAATGGGTGAGAAACGGTAGAATATCAGGAGCGATAGTCTGAAGGAGGTTTGAAGGGATAGGGTCCAGAGGACAGGTGGTAGGGCGGGCAGAGGTAATGAGGGTAAGAACCTCACTTGGAGAGAAAGGGGAAAAGGAGGTTAGTGTGTTGGTGGAAGGAGGGTCTGGTGACCCAGCGGTGAGTAAAGGTGAGTCAGAAAAAGAAGAGCGAATATCATCAACCTTTTTTTCAAAGTGGGTAACGAAGTCACTTGACAGAAGTGAGGAGGGGGGAGGGGCTTTTGGAGGGTCCAAGAGGGTGGAGAAGATGGAAAATAGTTTTTTAGGATTGGAATAGGAAGATTGGATCTTATCTTGAAAGAAAGTGCTTTTTGCCTGAGAGATCGAAGCAGAGAAAGAGGAGAGGAGAGCTTGATAGGTTAGGAGGTCGTCACGATGTTTAGATTTCCACCGTTTCCGCTCTGCTGCCCTAAGGACGGTTCTATTAGCACGCAGTGCATCATTTAGCCAGGGAGCAGGAGGGGACTGACGAGCCTGCCGAGATGTGAGAGGACAGAGAGAGTCCAGAGAGGATGAGAGAGTAGAGAGGAGAGTTTCTGCAGCAGAGTTTGGAGGCAGGAGTTGGAACGAGTCAGAGGAAGGGAGGGCTGAGAGCACCGATGAGGCAAAGGTAGAGGGGGAGAGGGAGCGAAGGTTACGGCGGACAAGTGCAGGATGAGAAGAGATTAGTTTGTTATGTTTGGAAAGGGGTAGAGAGAATGAAATGAAGAAGTGATCGGAAGTGTGGAGCGGGTTTACATAGAGGTTAGAAGTAGCGCAGTTCCTTGAGAATATGAGATCAAGGACATTGCCAGCTTTATGAGTCGGTGGGGATGGAGACAGTGAGAAAGCAAAGGCGGTTAACAGGGATGTTAGTTCGTCTATCTTCCCTGTCTGGAGGTTGAAGTCTCCGAGAAGTACAGCGGGAGGGCCAGTTTCAGGGATGTGTGAGAGGAGATGATCTCATTCCTCCAAGAAGTCCCCCAAGGCGCCTGGTGGACGGTAGAGAACAACAATGGTTAACTGTATAGGATGGGTTACTGTGACGGCATGGAATTCAAAGGTGGAAGGAGTGAAGTTAGGTAGCTTGAAGAGGGAAAAGCTCCATTTGGGAGAGAGCAGGAGACCAGTGCCACCTCCTCTGCCAGTTGTTCTGGGTGTATGGGAGAAGGAATATGCAGTGGAGAGAGCTGCTGGGGTGGATGTGTTGGATGGAGTAATCCAGGTCTCAGTGAGAGCAAGGAAATCCAGAGACTGCAGGGAGGCGTAGCCAGAGATGAAGTCAGCCTTAGGAACAGCTGACTGGCAATTCCACAGGCCACCTGAAACTAGATGTTGGATCTCAGTGGAGCATGTGGGATAGATGAGAGCAGGCCGGTTATATCGATTACGAGATACACGGGGCCAGTGATAATTGCGAGAAGACACATGAACAGGAATGGAGAAAATACACATGATTATAGCATGAGGGGCTAAACAACCAAATAAAATAAGACACCAGCTCAATCAGAGTAGGATTTGCCTCCTCTTTGCCTCCCTCGGGACTCCCGCAGGACTCTAATGTCTTTGCCAGTCTTACTCCCGCAGGACTCTAATGTCTTTGCCAGTCTTACTCCCGCAGGACTCTAATGTCTTTGCCAGTCTTAGCCTGTCTGACGCTGAAGCTGACGCTCCAGGAAAGTGCTACCTAAAATGGACACCTGATTGCTGAGTTCTCACAGCTGTGGGGCAACGTCCCTTTAATTAGTTAACTCTGCAGCTGGTGGCCCTCAAAAGGAAATCTAGACTGGCTTCCTCCTGATTTGTTATTGTCTTTTAAGTCAATTACATTAAACCCTAAGTTATAAAGTTATGAGTTTAACCCTTAATACAGTTACACATACTCAATAAAGCTCTTAGTATTCTACAAATGTTTAAATCAAAGTTAACCCTAGCAGTCAGTTAGTTCACTTTTAAGGTTTCAGTCAAATGACTTGTCCCAAGTTTCTGCCTGACAGATACTGTAGCGGTTTTGAGTTTTAAAATCACAATTCCAGTCAGATCAACTACAGAGCATTGATACAGAGTACACACACTGAAACAGAGAAGCCTAAAAACACAATGTTACTCACACAATTCTAGAAGTCTCCAGTAGCTTTCCTGTCAAAATCGAGTTGCACACTGCTCTAGAGGAGATCTGCATGGAGGAATGGGCCAAAATACCAGCAACAGTGTGTGAAAACCTTGTGAAGACTTACAGAAAACGTTTGATCTCTGTCATTGCCAACAAAGGGTATATAACAAAGTATTGAGATGAACTTTTGTTATTGACCAAATACTTATTTTCCACCATAATTTGCAAATAAATTCTTTAAAAATCAGACAATGTGATTTTCTGGATTTTTTTTTCTTCTCATTTTATCTCTCATAGTTGAAGTGTACCTAGGATGAAAATTACATGCATCTCTCATCTTTTTAAGTGGGAGAACTTGCACAATTGGTGGCTGACTAAATACTTTTTTGCCCCACTGTATGTAGATAGTATAAGAAATGTGCAGAATGACAGTTTAATGGTGGAGGTATACACACATATTGATAGATGTCTTGTAATGCACTGTTGAGGAATCTGCGACCCAAGTTCTTCATCTCCGGCCTTGTCAGGTATTGAACAATCAATAAATAAAGAACACAGAATTATTAAATAAAACACATAATTTGTATGATTATACTAAATGATTTACAAATAAACACCACTGCATATTTACAACTGTTACACATGCTGATGTAACGCAAATGTTTCCAACTTGGGATCAATAAAGTATATCTTATCTTAAGATGATCGATGGCTACTGCCATATTTGCAAAGTTTGCCTCTGAACCTTGACAAGTGCATGTTTCAGGCTTATCAATGAACAACAGGAGGGGTCACAGACATAAGACCAGCTGTTAAATAAAGCTCTTCTGACCTTAGCTGGTATGTGGGTATATATATTAATGCTGCCCATTATGGGCACAAGCAATTTTCACCCATTTATTAATTATATGTTTTAAATGTGAGTGTTTCCTATCCCCTAAACCTCCAGGGATGTACACAGTTTAATACTGGCAACTTCTTATTATGGGAAATACGAAAACGTCTTTTAAAACTACAACTCCCAGTAGAGACGTGCCATAGATAGAGAACATGTTGCGAAACACAATAGCCAGCATGTGTAGTTCTGGGGACGGGGTGGGGGAGGGGGGGACGGGGTGGACCCGTTCAAATCCAGTTTGGACAGTCTGCCGTGGTTCCATCCCATTTCAAAGTGCTGTTCCACGCTCGGTGTAACCCTCGGCGCACACTCAAACATCCAATCACAGAGCTTGAGGACTATCACGGGGTTTGTCAAGCGAAGCGGAGAGAATACTTACTTCCGGACAAAGTTGAAAAAGCCGACACGGCCGCCCCCCCTTGCGTTGGAAAAAGCCGACACAGGGGACTTGACATAACGTCAACATAGGCCGACCTGGGAGTGAGGATGTGTTGCTGAAAGAGCTGTGATGCTGAAGGAATAAAGGGTGAACCAGCATCTCACCTGTCTGTCTCTCGTCCCGTCGACCTGTCTGTCTCTCGTCCCGTCGACCTGTCTGTCTCTCGTCCCGTCGACCTGTCTGTCTCTCCGTCAGTGACAGACAGACAGGCCACAGCGCTGCACTGCCCAACCTGGTTCCTGAGGACAGACGGTCAACACAACAGACAGTTATATTACTCACTGCACTAGACTGAATAATTTCAGAGAGTACCCCAGAGGGTACCCCAAATAGTAGAGAGTACCCTATAATGTACCCCAAAGAGCAGAGAGTACCCCAGAGGGTACCTCAAAGAGTAGAGGGTACCCCAGAGGGTACCCAACAGAGCAGAGAGTACCCCAGAGGGTACCTCAAAGAGTACCCCAAAGAGTAGAGAGTACCCCAGAGGGTACCCCAAAGAGTAGAGAGTACCCGAGAGGGTACCCCAAAGAGTACCCCAAAGAGTAGAGAGTACCCCAGAGAGTATCCTAAAGAGTAGAGAGTACCACAGAGAGTACCCCAAAGAGTACCCCAGAGAGTACACCAAAGAGTAGAGAGTAGCCCAGAGAGTACCCCAAAGAGTAGAGTGTACCCCAGAGGGTACCCCAAAGAGTACCCCAGAGAGTACATCAAAGAGTAGAGAGTACCCCAGAGTGTACCCCAAAGAGTAGAGAGTACCCCAGAGAGTACACCAAAGAGTAGAGTACCCCAGAGAGTAGAGAGTACCCAAGAGAGTACGCCAAAGAGTAGAGAGTACCCCAGAGAGTACACCAAAGAGTAGAGAGTACCCCAGAGGGTAACCCAAAGAGTACCCCAAAGAGTAGAGAGTACCCCAGAGGGTACCCCAAAGAGTAGAGAGTAACCGAGAGGGTACCCCAAAGAGTAGAGAGTACCCCAGAGGGTACTCCAAAGAGTAGAGAGTACCCCAGAGAGTACCCCAGAGAGTACCCCAGAGAGTACCCCAGAGAGTACCCCAAAGAGTACCCCAGAGAGTACAACAAAGAGTAGAGAGTACACCAGAGAGTACCCCAAAGAGTAGAGAGTACCCCAGAGAGTACACCAAAGAGTAGAGTACCCCAGAGAGTAGAGAGTACCCCAAAGAGTACCCCATAGAGTACCCCATAAAGTACCCCAGAGAGTACATCAAAGAGTAGAGAGTACCACAGAGAGTACGCCAAAGGGTAGAGAGTACCCCAGAGAGTACCCCAGAGAGTACCCCCAAAGAGTACCCCAGAGAGTACCCCAAAGAGTAGAGAGTACCCCAAAGAGTACCCCATAGAGTACCCCATAAAGTACCCCAGAGAGTACCCCATCGAGTACCCCAAAGAGTAGAGAGTACCCCAGAGAGCTAGAGAGTACCCCAGAGAGTACCCTAAAGAGTACCCCAGAGAGTAGAGAGTACCCCAGAGAGTACCCTAAAGAGTACCCCAGAGAGTCCCCCATAGAAGCTAGAGAGTACCCCAGAGAGTATCCCAGAGAGTACCCAAGAGAGTACTCCAGAGAGTACCCCAAAGAGTACCCTAAAGAGTACCCCAGAGAGTACCCCAAAGAGTAGAGAGTACCCCAGAGAGTCCCCCAGAGAGCTAGAGAGTACCCCAGAGAGTACGCCCGAGAGTACCCCAGAGAGTACCCCAAAGAGTCCCCCAGAGAGCTAGAGAGTACCCCCGAGAGTACCCCAGAGAGTACCCAAGAGAGTACCCTAGAGAGTACCCCCGAGAGTACCCCAAAGAGTGCCCCAGAGAGCTAGAGAGTACCCCCGAGAGTACCCCAGAGAGTACCCAAGAGAGTACCCTAGAGAGTATCCCAGAGAGTACCCCAGAGAGTACCCTAGAGAGTATCCCAGAGAGTACCCTAATACTTATTTATACCGTATACTGGTCCTTCTCTTGTGTCATGAGACTGTTGTAAGAAAAGCTACTGAACCTGTCTTTGTAGACACGCTTTACTTTTTCTTAGGAGTGCAAAACCCTTTTCTTTTGAATATTAGTTTTCTCCTGTGTTTACAGTAGAGTAGGTAAGAAGATGTTTGTGTTTAAAGGTTTGTTTGTTTTATGGTTTTGTTACTCCTGTGAGTAATATTATTTTGGTAATTAAATGTACCAAACGGCATTCTCTGAGTCCGTGTTCTTGGGAGTGGGGAGAGTGGGGAGAGTGCACATTTTGTGCTGCGCCTAAGTTCCCCTAGACCTGGGCGTAACAGTACCCAAGAGAGTAGAGAGTACCCCAGAGAGTATAGAGTACCCCAGAGAGTAGAGAGTACCCCAAAGAGTAGAGAGTACCCTAGAAAGTACCCCAAAGAGTAGAGAGTACCCCAGAGTGTAGAGAGTACCCCAAAGAGTAGAGAGTACCCCAGAGAATACCCTAAAGCAGTGATTCTCAAACTTTTTTCAATAATGTACCCCCTTTGAAAAAAAAATTCAGCCAAGTACCCCCTGATCAGCGCAAAAAAATGCCTATATAAAGAGGTACAGTACAGCGCTGCACCATCAGTGACTGATTTATTAAAACAACAACCTTGTAACTGAGAAACACTTAAATGCTACATTTCAAATGTTTACAATCCATCACTAAATTCATGGCAAACCAATTTTAACATCATGCAATAACACTAAGACGACATTAGTTGCATTGAACTGATCTTAATTTTAATTTTAATAAGTTGTACTTAATGTAGTGTGAAACATGGGCTTGTGCTTCACTGAGGATCTTTGTCATTCTGACAGGGAGGCAATTGCCGTTATTACACTTCGAGTTTTGAAATATGTGTAACTCTGTTCATATAAAACCCACACTGCTCAAACTTCCTTACTTTTCCTAAAATTGGTATATTTATTTATTTTGGGGCGTGGGGAATCAAGAGAAAAAGTTATATGAGCGTTTTATGAGCATGGGATTTTGACCCCTCATATAAACATATGCATAATGCTGCACTATACTTTGCGGCCACACGCCGTTGCCAAGCAACGCTTATTGTTTATGTCCTTTGACACGCAGGCAGTCATATAATTAACTAGAACTATCTAGATCTGATGGATTTTAACATAAACGTGAGTGAAGTATAACCGGACGCGAGAGAGAGATCAGATCAGCTGCTGCTGACGGAGAACACGCAGCTCTGCATGATCACAGCTCCGCCGCTGTGACGGACCGTTGAGCGAAGTAAAATACACAAGAGTTAGACCTAACACACTTAGCTAGTTGATCTACTCTGGAACTAGCTAAACTAGTTATACATATATTTATTCTTTACTGTCGGTTCACTTATTACAGGTTCAGCGAGCTGCACGAGACTGACGGGCTGTCAGGAGAGGGAGAGGAAAAGAGAGCACTCTTTATTTTTCCCATTTTATTATCCAGAGTTTCTGTAAACCTTTGAATAAAGTAGTTAATCTACTATTAGTAGTTTGTTTAAATGCATTAATTACGTTTTTTTTGTTCATTAACATAAAATAAATCTCACGTACCCCCTGCAGTACTCCAACGTACCCCCCGCGTACACCCATTTGAGAACCACTGCCCTAAAGAGTACCCCAGAGAGCTAGAGAGTACCCCAGAGAGTACCCTAAAGAGTACCCCAGAGAGTAGAGAGTACCCCAGAGAGTACCCCAAATAGTAGAGAGTACCCCAGAGAGTAGAGAGTACTCCAAAACGTAGAGAGCACCCCAGAGAGTACCCCAGAGAGTAGAGAGTACCCCAGAGAATACCCTAAAGAGTAACCCAGAGAGCTAGAGAGTACGCCAGAGTACCCCAGAGAGTACTCTAAAGAGTACCCCAGAGAGTAGAGAGTACCCCAGAGAGTACCCCAAATAGTAGAGAGTACCCCAGAGAGTAGAGAGTACCCCAGAGAGTAGAGAGTACCCCAGAGAATACCCTAAAGAGTAACCCAGAGAGCTAGAGAGTATGCCAGAGAGTACCCCAGAGAGTACCCCAGAGAGTACCCTAAAGAGTACCCCAGAGAGTACCCTAAAGAGTACCCCAGAGAGTTTTCCCGGGTCGCCGAGGGTGCTGGCGTTGTTTGTTCGCCGCTCCTCCGCCACAAATCTTTAGTACTCCAAATAGTAGAGTACCCCAGAGAATACCCCAGAGAGTAGAGAGTACCCCAGAGAATACCCCAGAGAGTAGAGAGTACCCCAGAGAGTAGAGAGTACCCCAAAGAGTAGAGAGTACCCCAGAGAGTAGAGAGTACCCCCAAAAGTACCCCAAAGAGTAGAGAGTACCCCAGAGAGTACACTAAAGAGTACCGCATAGAGTACCCTAAAGAGTACCCCTGAGAGTCCCCCATAGAAGCTAGAGAGTACCCCAGAGTATATCCCAGAGAGTACCCAAGAGAGTACTCCAGAGAGTACCCTAAAGAGTACCCCAAAGAGTAGAGAGTACCTCAGAGATTCCCCCAGAGAGTCCCCCAGAGAGTACCCAAGAGAGTACCCCAAAGAGTACCCCAAAGAGTAGAGAGTACCCCAGAGAGTACCCAGAGAGTACCCAAGAGAGTACCCTAGAGAGTACCCCAGAGAGTATCCCAGAGAGTACCCCATAGAGTACCCCAGAGAGTACCCCAGAGAGTACCCCAGAGAGTAGAGAGTATCCCAGAGAGTATTCCAGAGAATACCCAAGAGAGTACCCCAGAGAGTAGAGAGTACCCCAGAGAGTACCCCAGAGAGTAGAGAGTACCCCAGAGAGTACCCCAGAAAGTACCCCAGAGATTACCCTAGAGTACCCTAGAGCAGTGGTTCCCAAACTTTTTGTGCCCAAGGCACACCAAAGGACAAGTAAACATCTCAAAACACACCTATTGTGCAAAATAGCCCTTATAACACGTGTTATCACTCATATCATGTAAAATATCTGTAAATGTGCATAATTATTTACTAATGCCAAATAAAATGTGACAAAGACAACTATATTATTCATGAAATATCTATTAACGAAATATTTCAGAAATTAATTTGAAACGTTATCAAATTAGGCTTCATCAAAGCAGCAACACACTCATTTAAACCAGACAGGTCACAACATTAACATTTCAGCAATCAGCATTGAAACATGTGCTATTGTAAATATTTTGCCGACTTACAAATTAGTGAGATACATGTGCCTGTCGGGGTGCGCAGATTTTTGTTATCCTTGGTGGCACTGAGGAGAGGGCCACTCGCAAGTCCTATTC